CTTTTCGCATAAATTCCTAATAAGTAAAATTTTTCTGGTATTTAGTTGACCATAATAACAGTTATTACTCAAGGAAAGTACCATGTCAAAGAACTTAGCATATCACAGTTTTTATTAAACCATTTGAATTTCCGCATTGATTATCTGCATTGTATATCTTATTACATAATTTTATAATCGACTGAAACATCAACAGTATATTAACCTTGCTGCTAACAGTTCTTAATCATGAGAAGTTATTTAATTTATGTGGACGGGTTAGAATACATTAAACCCTAATAATTATTAAAAAATGGAGGGCACTATTTGCAACATTATTTTGTTTGCTATGGCGTATGGCGATTGAGATATATAAAAAAAATAAACACAGACATCATCATCATATTATATCGAAATTTGAAGAGTTACAAACAATAATCAAGTCTATTAATATATAAATTCCCGAACAAATGACAGAAGCTAAAGCTAAACGGAAAAAACCTCTGCATAATGCACAACTTGTGTTGTAAAAAAGAGGCATCCTCAAGACATTCCGATAAAACCACTAAAAACATTCGCATTCGAAGACAAGTAACACGCTATACGATACGGCACTGGCATGTCTCTATTGCTCTTTAAATTGACGCAGTAGAAGTCGCCGAAATTGGTATAAACAGTAAATATATTAATAATAGATGTGGTGAAGATAACCTACTAATGGCAAAAAGAATAGAAATCTTAACAAAATATATTAAACAGAGTAATTAATCCAAGTAAAGCAATGGGACTAATAATCTTCCTCTTCTTCTTCCTCGGCTTTTCCCATTTCAGGGGTCGTTGTTTCTTACTCTTTCCGCTGTCCTTTCTTTCTCTCTTAACTTTCATCAATTTCTAACAGCTCTATCCTTCATCTCACATAGTTTTCATCTGTACCTACGTCTAACATGACCAAACTATTGCAGTCTTCGTTACTGAATCTTTTTTGAAACTGTAATCACCTCGGCTCTTTCGCTAATCAGGTCGATTATATATCTCTTTGCTACGCAGAAATACTTTTTAAAACTTCATAAGACCAAACTCAGAGTAATCACGGGTCACTGGTGTTCTCACTGGAAATAGGTATGATATCTGTAAAATAGGCAAAGTGGACGAGCATAGATTCTGCGAAAAGGCAGGCAGAACAACCCAACATGTAGTGTGCAACTGCTAGACAGTTGTTTGCCAAAGTCATAAGTACCTGAAACAGGTCTTTTTAATACCTGATCACGGAACAAATATCTTTTCTAAGCGCACAATAGGCTTTCCCAGAATCCTAGATCTCTTAGACTGAATATAGATGTAGGGTATACACATAATATCTTAAAGGTCAGAGTGTGTAAAGGTCTTGTACTAATCTGAGATAGTCTACGCCAATCTACTCCTTAAACGATTACTAAAATCAGCGGTGAGTGCAAGTTAAAAAGAAAACCAAATTCTTAACGGATGAACCTCCATTAAACATAGGGTTTCCTAAAATATTAATTCTTTCAATTAGGTCAAATTTTAGATTTTCAAATAGATATTTACTTGTTTAATATATACAAACAATATACCCTTCAAACCAATATCAAAAGTACCGATAGAAAGAGCAGCCTTTAGGCTACAACTAGTTACGAACGATAGTTTTTACGACTTTGTATAGTTCTTTTGTGTAAGAATGTTTCAGGCCTCACTTCATATATTAGTAAATACATACAAACAAAAACATCAATTTTGATTTTCGTAGCATAAGGAAATGTATAAAATACAGTAATTACATAAATTTACAATGCACAATGAAATTCATGTTTGCGGTTTCATGATTTAGCTATTGCTGTTTTATGGTAAAATAACTATAAACATCTGGTTTCAAAAAGTATTTATGTACACCGCATTGCATATTACGAAACCACAGTTGTATGTTGCATTTTAAAATAATAAATAGTCAATTTTGTAATATTTTTCCATTTCTTAATTGAACATATTTCGGTATTCTGGTTGAAACCGAAGCGAAGTGTATTTGAGATACAAGAAGAATAATATTGCTACGTAATTTGAGAGAATCAACGGTACATCTATTGGACCATTTAGAGTGGCAATAGATTCGCGCACCTAGGTTATACTCCTCGTGAATTAGTAAGTATATATTATGGGATGATAGAAAGAAAAAAAGAGATAATATGCTTGTTTTAGGTTTTTTTAAAGCATTTTCAATAAATGGGATCCTGATCTTGAACTATTCAATTAAATTACTAAGATTGGATATATCATAAAGACAACGGTTCATTTTAGGTTTTTTAATTCTTCTTTAGTATAGCTGTGGCTATGTCATCACTCAGGAAAGGTATCTTTCTGCATTCTGGGAACCACAGAAAACCAATCTCTGTCGTTTATATCATTGAATGCAGTTTATAAAAATTGTTTCGAGTGCTTCCATTCTTCAGAAAGTGCGCTGTCGAAGGAGGTTAACGAAGATAGGTGGAGATATTCAGTAGGAACCTGAAGAGTGGATGACTTCCAAGACATATTTAAGGTGTTGAGAGATCCAACGTTAACCCTCCGTTAGTCGCTATAAAAACGGAGCATCATGAATCGCTACAATGTCAGAAATTGACAATTAAAAGAAAATAGTCATCGCTCTAAAATTTATATAAATATTTTATATTGTGTTTAGGCATGACCAACAAATGTTTTTGAAAATGTTTTATTGAAAAACAAAAGATACAAAATAAATCTGTCAATAAATAAACAATATGAACTCCCCGTCAAATTCATTGTCGTAGCCTACTTAGTTTCGAAAAAACTATTTTTAATCATATGAAATAACAATGGTCAAAATAGGAATCAACATTAACTTTATTCGACTATAAAAAAATTTGAAAGTACCTACTGACTTATTTTTTAATTTAATTTATAATAGGGGGTGTGTCAATACCATACTTACTTTATTTATGCGTTTTTATTCATATATCGAGTTCGACAAAAGCTATTAACATGCGGTTTACGCCATTTTGTTACGAATTTAATCCAAATCCATTATGATTTACAATAAATGGGTGTTTCCATTGAACATTTTGAAGTAAAACAAATTTTAATTTTTTCTATTTTTTTGTAAATAGAGAAAGTACCCTCTACCTACGACAATTAACACTAAATGCTATTATTTTATAGTAGATGTAAATTAATTCATCCACACTCTTTCTAATGACACTAATTTTTTCACTTCACTTTTTTTCTAATAACACTTTCTAATTTAAAATTAGTTAATCCAAACCAAAGTTAGAGGTATTTATCCACAAATACTTTCCCACTGTCCCCCACCCTTTATTTGAAAAAATAAAAAAAAGAACTTGAACAACTTTGTGCAGAATTTATGCCTCTTTCTAGTTTACTTATTTAACACTTGGTATAATTGGACATATTACCCAAAAAACTGGTTTTCAAAGTTTTCTTCACAGGTTACGCCCCCTAGCGGTTAACTCAGAAACTTGAAAGTTATTTCCAGCGATTTCTCTTGGCCACTTTTACTAAGGACATTTTTCTCCTTAAGTTATAACATAAATATTTTCTGATATATAGCCGAGAGAACGACTTATTGGACCACCCGGTACACTACGACGAGGTTGATTAATAGGGAGAGGTACAGAAAGTGGCAATAGAAAAATAACAGTGATTTGCAAATCCTGAATGAATACTGTGTGACACCGATAGCGACTAACAGAGGTAATCTAACAAAGGGTTCTAATCGACCTCAAAAAGTATGTATTATTAAAAATGGATGTAACGGAGACTTAATTTTGGATTTGTATAAATGTCTGGTAGACAATTATAGCCAACGTTGAAATTGATGTTGAAGAGAATCATGGACATACAGTGCATTATCTAGTTGACTGCCTAGCCGTTGTGCTGAGTTGTGTATGTTGGGCAGTTGCTGAGAAGATTTTTAAAACTGGACATCTTGCTGAAAAGACAACATAATTTTCTTGACGATGGGGCTTTTAGGAGTACTTCCTGTGGACAATGCATGTAATTTATTATATTGCCCACTATTGGGCAAATATTGACATATTGTAATTCTTTCGGCCCATTGAGAATTAAGATATTTGCATTGAAATTATCTCAAGTAATACTTTACGCATGTTGTTTGATTTAGGGATCTCACATGTATCCATCGATAATGCTATTTATGAAATTTTGATGTGGCTTGCCTACAGGCACCAGATGACTGATTTTGAGGTTTTTTGGAGTGAGGACGACTTTTCGAGCGTTGTTACAAACGACAGTGTAGAATATTTTTATGTTCCCGAACGTTCGAATATTGTTTTTGAATTCTAGAATGTTGATAGTGCGATATGTACCTATTAAAATTATCATCATCTGACTATGAGTCAATAGAAATTGGTCGACAGGAGCTCGTTATAAAATTGTAGTCCTCGACAATTTTATCAGTGTGTGACTTTGCACTATCATGTATAAGGTGATACATGAGGTGGGATAAATCTTGGACCAGACACAAGCCTTCTTGAAATCAAGTTTCTGTTTATAAATCGCTCTAAGCATCACAAAAAGTCTTTTAATTTCAAACACACCTAGATTGATCCTATAATTGACTTCTTTCATTCAATCATATACCTTTGAGTGAAGATTCTCTTTATTTTATGTATAAACATAGTATAACATATTATTCAGTTGCATTTACTCACGTCGATGATATATCCAGTATCAAAATTTCTCTAACTAGTTTGCCTGTAAATATATTTTTTACAGTAAATATCATTGTTTTGTTATGTAACAATAATCGCCTATTTTTTATTGTTGGTTTAAAAATATAGTAGATTACTTGTAATATCAGCACGCGTCATTGCTTTTTAATCAGATACTCAATAAAGCAATCGGTTGCGTGTCGTGCTCCTGGTCAGATGATAACAACAACAATATTGTTCTTTACTATGTCACTTTGTTTCATTTTTGAAATAAATAGTAATAAAATCTTTCATTTTCAGACCATGTAGAAACAGAACTTCGAAAAGAAGGAGAGAAACTCTCAGATATGCTCTCGATGTCCGTTAAAGACTGTCTTGGTCGAGAAATTCCAGTTGATTACTCCGAAGACATCGTCAACATCAGAGATGTCCTAGATGCCACTACAGCTAGAAAGAACATATTTTCAGATAGCGTAGAACTGCAGAAGCTAACACTTAAGCAAGTAACCCATATCGATAGTTACGAAAAAGACACCGTGCAAGCTGTTCGATGGTTGGATGAGTTACTTAGGGTTATGCTGAGGGATCATGGCCATGTTGGATGTACAGTTTATGAAATACAAAGACAGAAAGATGAACATGTTACGTTTCAAGAAACTGCAAAGGTATTTCAAACTTAATTTTAACAGATATCATGTTAATATGTAATAATGTAAAACGAGGATAATAATTATTATCATACAGCATCTCTGACTATTTATTGGTTAACATTATTGGTCATAAACTGCTCAGATATCTGTCACAATATTTAATTTTTATTAAGTTTAAGGTGTGGATACCCCAGAAATGTCCTGTTGTCTTTGTGTCTGCAGAGTACATATTTCATCATCTCTTTTTGTTCTGCAAATGTATTATTTTTAGCTTGTACTTTATAAAACTGTGATCACAAATAAAACATAGAAGAATAATATCTTAATATCTGTTATCCTGAAGACTAGTAAATCCTTTGAACTGGTTGAGTTTGAGATTTTATTCCCACATGTTTTGCTCTGCCTCCATACTTCAGTTATTCTGCGATTTATTTAATTTTTACTAGCCGAACAACGAGTGTTTGGTTCCTAAAACAGTACGCCTTTGGTTCGATGAGATAATCTTTTATGTCGATTTTTGCAAGGCAATATTCGTGTTAAGCCATGTTTCCTTTGCCCCTTTTCATCCACCATATGGCACGTAGCACAACTACTTTGAAAGTAGTGCATAGGACTTTGAAAATTGCGTAATAATTTAAACTTTAAAATTGAAAGTAAGACACTTTCACTTGGAGAGAGGAAAGTAGCGAACATTAGCATATCAAAAACGAACTACGTGGTTTAGAGAGAAAGTAAAGACGTAAAAAAAAGAAGAAAGTGTTTTTACAATACAGAACACCACAAACACAACAGGCATACAACCACTATAAACGAATCCAAAATAAAACAAATACTTTAGATAGACAAATAAAAAGAGAACACTGATAGAGGTTCCCAAAACAGATGGAACACTATTACGGAACACAAAAAACGTACAGAAGAATCAGAGGACAAAGAAAAGAGATGAATAAACTAATAAAAACAAAACACATTTAAAAGGAAATATGGGCAAACTACTTTCTATCCCTATTTGCTAAAGGTGGCCACCAAATATAATGAATCACCAAAAACCACAAAAGTAAGAAAAGACAAACGAAGAAAAGAATTTTGATGATGGGGAGGTGAAGGAAGCCCTAAGCAAATTAAAAAACAGAAAATGACCAGCAAAGGATAAAATGTCGAATAAACTCCCAAAGTACGGAGGACCAGATGTGACCAATCAACTATTAAAACTAATAAAAAAAATAAGAGAACAAAAGCGAATACCACAAGAATGGAGATCAAGCATCAAGAAATTACTAATAAACATAACACTAAAATTAACAACTTAAGTAATAACAAATACATTGACTGAAATTAAAACACTAGGAGAAGAACAACAAGGTTCTAGGTCGCGAAGATCATGCGAAGGTCCCTATATTTATAATGACGTAAGTACAAGAGAAATTAAACATGTTAATTTCTCCAAAAACTCAAAATGCTTGGTTATAACAGTAAATCTACACATATATAAATTACAGCTGGAAGGTCACATAATAGAACAAGTGAAGGAGTTTTTCATTAGGATATTACGGAGGAACAAGAGCTACAAAAATAAATAACAAAATTAAAAGCAGAAAAGCACCTGGTCCTGATAAGATAAACAACGAACTGCTAAAATATGGAGGAGGAACACTACGCAACTGGCTCCTAAAATTATTCGTCGATATAATAAATACCGGAGTAGTACCAGTACCAGTACTGAAAATTATAGAGGCATTATTCTGATGAATAGTACATTAAAATTGTTAACAGCAGTCATAAAAGATAAAATCGAGGAAAAAGCGAACATGGCAGATGAACAACAAGACAAGAACCTTGAAGAGTGGCGTAAAATTGGAGCGACCTATGTGTAGCAGTGGACAGAAGAGGTTGCATGATGAAGATGATGACGAATATAAATTGTACTTATGTATCAGCTGCGTAGTGAAAAATTTGGTTATTCCTACTTTTCTATTTTCGAGTTTTTCTTTGATTTACTACTACCCGGTGGATCCAACATAGCTGGAAACAGGTCATAGTGTGGATTGAGCATAAACTTTTAGGAAGAAAAGATATAATACTAATGGCTTCTAGTGTGCATTACGTTGTTCTATACTTCATTTAATTTACTTATCGTTGCACGTCATCCGCGTCATAGCCCGTGAGATCACATGATACCAACACGAAATATTTAGGCGGTAGGTATGTTCTTTTTTAGAATCACTTTGCCGAGTACATTGGCATTACAGTTGCGGTGTTGACATTGTTTTTGACAAGATTATTTTTAAACTCTTGTTTTGTTTCTATTTATTTACATTTTTTATTAATTTGTTTTGTTGTATAATCCACTTTTGCAACAATTATGTGACCTATTTGATTTAAAATGGATTCAGGAATTTTTTATACTTTTACAACTATGTCAACTTTGATCTCTGTCAATAATAATGACGTGCAACGATAAGTTAATTAGATGGACTATATATAGTTATCCTATTGGTCTGAAAAATTAAAGTTACTCTAGTATTGTCCAGAATATATCTCATTGATCTTATTCAGGAGCAGTCGTACTGCTTTCGTTACATAACTTTCACTATACGGTGACTAAAAGTAAAGCCAAGCAGCACCTCTATTGCGGCAGTTATTGTGGTACTTATCGTTCTAGTAATACTTAGGCATTACAATCTCCGTAACCTGTGCAACAGAGTTTCCAATCATTTCTATGCTATATTTAATTACCACACACAACGTAATAGTTAGGCAGGGCCCAATAATGATAAACTACTACAAGAGGGAGACATTACAAGGCGGTTCCCGCTTCATACTGCCAATTGTTGACAGGTTAGCAGAGCTGTAGTATATTTATGTAAAGCTATTTAAGATTTGCCCATATTTTCTTCTTAAAGGGCATTAATTTAATCCTGCCAGGATTCACTTATAATTCGTTAGCAATATACCACTTACCTATATATTATGGTGAGTAGATTCTGTATGGGTTCACAAAGAGTGATTACTTCTTATTACTACCACAATTTCATCAGCATAAGCACTGCAGTGATCCCTTAAACTAACTGTGAGTCCAATAATGTCATCAATAAGTGTCATAGGGAGACATCATGCCTATCTGGGAACAACATCCGTTTGCATTTACCTCAATCTAATCCTTTTTAAGTCTATATCTTAATACCATACCTCGTCATTGACCAGAAAGTTGTGTCTGCTGCAGACGTGTCAGGGCTTGATAGACACGTCAATGATCCTTCATGAAGCAGACATAATTGTGTCCCTTTTTACATAATCAGTCAAATTTAAAGAAGTAATCTATGAAAACCTTTATTTTAATCGATCCGTCTATACTCAAAATACACATAGACTAAATGATTACTAATTCTCAGAACAAAACTGATATTTGAAAATCTTGGATACATACTTAGTTCGCTCTTGTATTTGAGTGTTTTAATGTTGATCCATATTGTACGCCATATATCTTTTGCATTTAACAAAACACTTTCAAAGTTTCTATGTTTATTCTCTATATTCATTGAGAGTTTTTGCATTCTTTATATACATTCCTTCGTAACAATAAGTAGTGAAAAACTAAGCATCTACTTCTTTCTTTGTTTTAATCCAGTTTTGGGCCGTCCCCTTTTTGTTTGAGCTGTTAATACATATATCCTAAATATATATGTAATGCTGTGTGTACAATATCCACTATCTTTACAACTAATGCAGTTGGTTATGTTGGTTTTTTATTTAGTAAGTGTATGATGTTATTTTGGAATTATCTTTTCCTTCTCAGTCCTAATCCCTTTCGGGATGTGGTGACACCATCAGGCCTTCACAGTTTTTTTAAGATTTCAATCCATCCTTCTCTGTCTTGGGCTAGTTGTTCGGCTTCATGTTACCCTTGGTTAATCAATAGTTTTCTTTAATCTACCCAACGGCTTGGAGATCTTCCCCTAGGTCTCTTTCCTTCATTTCTACTCTCGACTATCAGTTTTTCCATCGTACCTGTTCTTTTAGCAATGTGTCCAAAATACTGCATATATCTCTATTGTATTTGTTTAAGCAAGTTTTTTGTTTATTTATATCCGCTTTCTTTAATGTCCACGTTTCGAATGCATATGTGGCTATGGGAAAAATGAGCGCCCTTACGAGCCTTAGTTTTGTGTGTATTGTTATGATAGAATTTGGAGTTGTAAGTAACGGTATTTATATGTTGTACATATGAATATAGTTCTCTTGAAGATGTAGGAAAATGGTAAGGTCGAATATAGCTTTATATTAAAAATAATTTTACTTTTAGACTTTTTAACTAACTTTTCGACATTGTTATTTGTTTAAATAATAACAAAAATATTTTATAATTTTTTAGGGAACGTATAATTATGGTTGCCAACTACTAAATGCCTCATTGGTGCTACGACAAGCATGCAAACTTGCCCTTGATGACCACGCTAATCTCTACCAACGACTTAAATCCTCTTGGCAAAAACTGCTGCATGTCAGTCAAGAGCAAATGACTCGCTTACGGGTTTCGGCCGTATTTCATAGATCTGTCGAAGAACAATGTAATCAGCTGCGAGATCTTCGGGAGGCTGTTGCCACTATTCCATTAATGGATTTGGCGAGAAAGAAGACTAGGGTGGATTACTACTTCGGTAAGAGGGAAAAGTTGATTGTGGAGGTCGGAAGGATGGTTAGGCTAGGAAAAATGTTGAGGAGCCGGTTGAAAGAACCCCTTTGTTTTGGAGAAAAGTAAGTATCTGAATTGAATACAAACGCATTAAGGTATTAATATGGAAGGCGATGATTATAATGATGAAGTTTGTCTAAACAATACATGACTAAATTGTACCTCCTTATTTTCTGAGCCATACATTTTCAATCAATAACTTTCTAGTAATAAGTAACATATTAATTGACCATGTAGAATCTTATGTGTACCTTGGCACCAACGTAAATGCAAAATGGGAACAGACCATAGAAATTAAGGCGAGAATAGAACGAGCTAGAGCAGCATTTAGCAATATGAAAAAGCTCCTCATAAGCAAGGATTTGTCTCTTCCCCTAAAACTACGTATAGTTAAATGCTACATTTTTCCGATCTTGCTGTATGGCGTGGAGGCCTGGACGCTGACGGAGACGCTAACGAGAAAACTAGAAGCATTCGAAATGTGGGTGTACCGACGCATTCTTCGTATATCCTGGACCGAACATGTCACCAACATAGAGGTACTCCAAAGAATCGGAAAGGAGAAAGAAATCGTGAATACAATTAAACAAAGAAAGCTTGAATATCTAGGCCACATATTGAGACACGATAAGTACCGTCTGCTACAATTGATTGTCCAGGGAAAAATAGACAGTAAGCGAGGGCCAGGCAGGAGAAGACACTCGTGGCTCCAAAATCTGCGGAAGTGGTTCGGGCTCACATCGGTCGAACTATTCAGAAGCGCCGCAAACAAGATCAAAATTGCCATGTTAATAGCCAACGTTCGCAACGGACAGGGCACTTGAAGAAGAAGAAGAACTTTCTAGTGAGTTCATTATTAATTAGCTTAAGATACTAAAGTTTGGACTTTTAGTCGAACCTGTTTACAAAAAAAAAAAAAATTAAACCGTTCTGACCATCGAAATGTTTCCTACCGGGAATATCCCTCCTGGAACACAAGCCAAGCCTACAATTAAAAATACAACCGCCACCAGCTTCACTCCAAACGTAAGTTCCACCAATAAGCTCAAATAATAGACAAAATGACCACTTCGCGTGGTCACGCACACCTACACACACTCACACACACACTCACAATTGTTTCGCCGAACGTTTTCGCCAAAGAGAATTAATTTGGCTTCTTCAGGGCCGAAAGACAATAAATTATAATTAGCTACCATATTTTATCTATTAAAATACACTGTTGATCTTACCGTAACTTAGAATTGTAGAGATAGAATGTTAAAAAACTTAGCTAGTAACAATATAGTGGTTGTTACTAGCTGTATTGACTACAAAAGAAATACCCGATAGCTGGAACGATGGGGAGAGACTATTAATGTTAAAAAAAGGTGACCGAAAGAACTTAGAAAACTACAGACCTATAACATAACTAAGTGTTGTATTTAAACTACTAACGAAGATCATAACAAATAGACTAACAAGTAAGCTTGACGAATACCAAGCAAGAGAACAAGCGGGATTCAGAAAGGGTTTTAGTACTAGCGACCATCTACTAACAGTAAAAATACTGATTGAAAAGTCGAACGAGTATCAAATCCCATTATACATTGCATTCATAGACTTCCGAAAGGCGTTTGACAGCATAGAACATTGGGCCATCAAAAACTCACTACAAAACGGCAGAATTGATTACAGGTACACGGACCTAATAACAAACATATACAAAAATGCGAGTACCACAATAAAATTTACGAACGAACACGCTACAGAACCAATAAAATTCGAAAGAGGAATCAGGCAGGGAGACACAATGTCACCAAAATTGTTCAATCAGGCTATGGAAGACATATTTAAAAAAATAGAATGGGATACATACGGAATAAGACTAAATGGAGAGCTCTCGAACCACTTGAGATATGCAGACGATATAGTCCTGATAACAGATAAGAAGGAAGAGTTACAGAAGATGGTTGAGGAACTAGACAGAAAAGCGACAGAGGTAGGTCTAGATATGAACTGTAGTAAAAGCAAGACTATGACAAACCAAGAAGACCAGTTAGAAATATTAGTAAAACAGAATAAATTACAGCAATTACATTAAGTTCCCTCAATATATGCGAACGAAAGTATTCAATCAGTGCATTTTACCAGTTATCACATATGGCTCACAAACATGGACTTTCACAAAGGAGAACATCGACAGGATACCCAAAACACAAAGAGCAATGGAAAGACAGATGCTGGGTATCGCTCATGGATCAGAGAAAAAACAAAGGTGAATGATGTAAAACAAGACAGGTTGCAAAACTTAAATGGAACTTCGCCGGTCACACTCTCCGGCAAAAAGATATAAGATGGAATAAGCGAATTCTACACTGGAGACCATGGGAAAAGAAACGAAAAAGAGTAAGACCACAGATGAGATGGACTGACGACCTTAAGAGAACGGCAGGAAAGGACTGGATGCAGATAGTCCAAAATAGAGACCAATGGAGATTAACAGGGGAGGCCTATGCCCAAGAGTGGGCGTTTAAGGCTGATTAGATAGATAGATAGATCTGAAAAAAAAAAGTTTTTTTATCGTTGGAAATGTATGGTAGCTTTGAACTTAAACCCAAAGGTGTACCCAAGATCAATCTAAAAACCCAATGTAACTGCATTTAAAAGAAAGTAATTCTTTGAATTGTCGGCAATAACTGAATTTTTGATTGTTTGGAAGTTTAATTGGTAGGTTCTGTTTTATCAGAACGCATGTGCTGACAATTTAAGTAGTTCTTTTAAATCTTTATGTCGTTAAGGTTCATAGATAAAACATAATGAAGTTAAATCCCAGTTTAGGGACATATTATTTTAGATTTTTCTTAATTGAATTTTTTTTTTATTATATTATATTGTTCATGTATTATTATAATAATATCTTATTGAGATGTATCTAAAAAAAGCAAGGGATTGTTATCTTTTTTAGTTAATAAAAATTATTATTAAAGTAGGTTAGTTGTTAATGGATATATCAGTCAAGTTGGTATCTGATTTACGTAAGAAGTGGTATATATCGCTTAGATTCTTAACGTCACTCTTAACATTGATGAAGAAATCGTTAAGGAAAATATAAGACATTTCAATGAACTCTCTTTTAGATTTATTGTTCTCACAGTGGAGAATTATAGTGTTAGTATAGTCCGTGAGATGACCAGTGGAATGGACATGCTTGGCTAATGCACAGCGGTCAGAGTGAAGTCGAGAATCGCTTTTGTGTAGTGTAATTTCAATAATTGAGATGTTTGGTCGATGTAGGAATTAACTTTGAAAAATTAAAGGCAAATATCGAGCACAATTTTAATACTCAAATCTTGCCAAAGTACTTTCGGTTTCTACAGCATCATCAGGGGTATTTTGTCAAATTTGGGCTATCCAGCAAGCGCAAAATGTAATAAACATGAAATTGAACATAATTTGTGCATAACAATACACTAAAACAAAGACAAACAGTTTAAAATTATTGAAAAATTATTCTACGCTCTACATTCTTGTCGGCAACAGGATAGAGGACAATTTATGTTGATTTATGTACAATTTATGTTCAATTTCATGTTTATTGCATTCTGCGCTTGCTGGATGATAGTCCAAATTTGATGAAATGCCCCTGATGATGCTGTAGAAAGCAAAAGTACTTGAGCAAGATTTGAATATTAAAATTGTGTTAATGGTTACAATTGTGACAATATTACAAAGCCTATCTAGGGGAGTCTTATCTTTTATCTTCGAATAAAGATTATTAATTGTTAGGGCTGATCTACAAGCCACATTGAGTATTATTACCAAAGCCATTTTCAACACTTTTCAGAATCCTTGTTAACCCCGGAGTGATACCTATGAAATATGGTAATGCGATCTGAAATATGGTAATGAAAAATATTTATTGATAGGAGTATCCTTAGACTGGGTTCCCAAATAAGACATCAGGATCAGCATTGTTAGTCGCGAAGGAAGGTGAAGTACCTTCGTTATGGATAGTGTTAAACAAAATCTTATTCACTAATGGTGTTGAATAAGCGTTTAAAATGAAAAGTTTCTGTAGGATTTGTAGGTTTTTTGTATGAAAAGAAGGATCTGATAGTTTTATTACTCTATTTTTCACTTTGGTAGAATTATTATGGTCAGAGTGGTAGTTAAGGTATCTACCAAAATGGGTCGGTTTTTGATACCAATCTATTTTAATGTTGTTGTTTTCCTTGATCATCCTTATGTCGAGAAAGGGGACGGACCAATTACCATCTTCCCTCTCTATAGTGAACTGGATGTAGGGGTCATAGCTATTGCAAGTATCTAATAGTTTATCTACCTTGTCATTGGGTATAGCCAAAATGATATCATCAAAATATTTTTTAATAAATGGAATTTGAAAGGATAAAAAGGAATGACTGAGTCTAATACATAATTCATAACGTAAGTTGCAATGATAGAAGAAATCTTTGCTCCCATAGGGGTACCGAAAGTTTGGTGATAGAATTTTCCATTAAATGAAAAGTAAGTGTTGTTAAACAGAAATTCGACGATGCTGATAAATCTGTCATAAGACATGAAACAACAACCTCTAATACGGTCCTCTAATAATTCCTAGATGAACGTTGCTGAAGAAGGATACAACATCAAGGCTAACGAGGACATAATTTGATGGTAGTATGTAACCATTATATTTAACATCTTAAAAGAATCTTTAATGTAATATTGAATGCATTAGTAAAGGTCGATTCAGACACATCTGTCATGTCTCATCACAGTCCTGGCGCCGAACCGAACAATCCGTCATACAAAACATTCTTTAATAGAAATATGGCGCCGGCATTCACATTCATCAGGCGACGAACAGTTTGCCAGCTGTCAGATAGCTGATAGTTCTGTGACCAAACAGGACCGGTTCAGCGTCGGGACTGTGACGGAACTGATGTGTCTGAATCATCGACCTTAAGTATGTCTGTAACAAAAGTTGAGATATTTTCATTGGAAGTTCCAATGGAAGCTACTATGGGACGAACCGATAGTGTTGGTTTGTGGATTTTTGGCAAAGCATAAAACTTTG